GGCAGCTTGCCGATCGAATATTGTCGGATCTGTTATAAACCATTCTTAACCCAGTCAGGACCCATCTTCTCGAGATGCACGTAGACGGCAGCGCGAGAGCAAATAACTGCGTATGTATGTATGTATGTATGTATGTATGCATGCACGCATGTTTGCATCTCTGTCTTTTTGTTTGTATTCATGCGTGTCTGTGTGCGCGCGCGCGCGCGCGCGCGCGTGCGTGCGTGCGTGTGGGAGGGAGGAATGTATGTACATACCGAACCTGACATTATCTGTCATGTGTCAGAACGCCATTGATGTCTCTTAGTCCTTCCCAGCCCTCCCTGAGGCCAGAGCCCCGCGAAGGTCCTCGCCGAACCCATCATTGCCTTGCACCGCCGATCAACCGCTCGAGACGGGAGAAGTAGGGGGTAGCGGACCGGATTATTGCGGAACGACATGAAGCCCAAGGATGAAGAGATGGTCGAAAATCAAAGTGATTAATCGACGGCAGATCAGTTGAAGAATCAGGACCGTATCTGCCACGCGACTATGCAAAGACCGACTGCATCCGGCCATGGTGATTACGCAACATATACATAGTACACACATACTGAAGACAATATAAACATCTATGTATTGCATTAACCTGAACATATATATGTATATGTATAAATATGTATATTTTTATACATATACACGTACATACATATATATATATATATACAAATGTATAGATATATATTAACATATATATATATATACATATAGGAGAAAATACATACTACAAACTGCCAATGCCAGGTCTGCATCTGCTTCGCTCCGGCTCTGGAAGATTAAGGAATCAGTGCCGCAACTTAGACCGAGGCAGACATCCCTGTGGCGGGAGACAATGACATCCATGAAGCCATATTTCTCAAAGTCCGCAGCAGCTTGCCGCTGGCGGTCCTTGCCGTCACGGTGCGGAATCAGCATGGAGAAAGCCAGGGAAAAAAGACGTCAAGCGAAAGCAGACACAAAACGGAGAGGGGAAGGGAGAGAGGGTGAGCGAAGGGCCAAGCCATGTTGGAACTCGGAAGGCAAATCTGCATTCATGGAGTCTCTCGCCAGGTCCTCGTGGAACTCGAAGGTATGCAGCTTCCTGAGTGTATGAACGATAGCGAATGGATCCACAAACATGAGGGGAACTCACACTTCACCTATTAGCAAAGAGGTAAAAGCTCACATCTGCATTAACAAAACACGGTTTCAGGTGAGCTCGAAATTACTGCCACCTGGACGACAAGCTACGACCGACAAGGAGGATCTCTTCCTGCCTGCAATGCTCGGCACTCAGCCCTTTTCAATCTCTGGGCCCTGCGATGCAAGTCCTGCACATATCTCGTAGCCTTTATTCCCCTGCTGGATTCTCGACAAAAAATGCCGCCATCCCGGGCATCCCGGGATAACCTTTTCGACGACCCGGCTTCCGCGACTTCCATCTCAGTGTTTCTCCAGAACTATACTATGCTTGTCAGGGCAGTGCAGGAGCTCACGCTGAACCCTCATGCATATACCAAGACCTTTCCGGCTTGTGCGACATGTCCTCCAGAAAGTTCAGAGACATGTTCAAAAGCTGTTTGCCCAGCTCTGGATGTTCGGTCACGATCTGGAAGACTTTGTCTCTCTGGCGACACAAGACCTCGCATTTGTTGTATTTGACCAAGTCCACGCAAGTGCGCTCTAGCCTGCCGCAGCTGCCGAAGACGTGCGCCAGCACCGACAAAATATTTTCTTCTGACAACAGGTCTTCTAGCTCATCCTCCGTCCTCCTCACGAGCCGATTCAAGCTGTACCGATCAGCAAGACGTCGCACAGACAACGCAAACACCACATCTCCACGTGCAGAGAATGTTTCAGACAGCATGAAATGGAATATCGCTGTCATGACACTGCAGTCAGCCAGTGGTTCATTGCTCAAGTCGACTTCATTGCTCTGCCCCTCCTTCCAGCCTGCATTGCCCAACATGTGCTCAAAATACTCCGAAGAAGTCATCAAGATCCGCTTGTCGAAGTACATGGGAGGCCCCTCCGCAAGGTGAAAGGTGACATACTCTGGTTGCTGCGTGAAGTCCACATCATGGACGAAGTTGTGCCAAGCATCGACCTTCAAAGGAAACTCCACAGTTGCTCGGATGCTTATCGTCTGCGGACTGGCTTCGGTGCCATCTCTCCATGCACCCAGCCACTCGACTTCCGACCAGCCTCTGCAGTCGCCATCCATGTCGAAAGAGAAATAAGCTGTATGAAGCATGGGCACACTCTCCCCTCTGCAAACAGCTACTTGGCACTTCACATACCCAGCATCCCACCAACCTGCTTGCTCGCGTAGCCCCGGCCACAACTCTAGAAACACACCGAAATCCCAATCCCGGCCATGCCGCCCACGCGGATATACTTGCAGATCGAACATGAAATTGTGTGGCAAGCCGGCGCGACGGGATCTCAGAAACTGTCCGGGCACGGCATCATGCGCTTCACTGTGGTGGAGTGTCATCTCAACATCCTCTCGGCGGCCACAGTGGCGGGGAGCTATGCTCGCTTTGGCACACAGATGGAGTTGTCCTTCATTCAGGCACTCCTCCAAGTCATCTAGGTATACTACATCGTCCAGGCCTGCCTGTTGGCTCAATTCTGTGGCAGCGAACCATCCTACACGCGAGTGCGAAACAGGGCCTGTTTCGGAGTAGAGCACTGCAACTTCAACACACACGTCTTCACAGGTCCATCTGCGATTCCCCATCGTCGCACTCGGCGGCAGAAGCAACTCAACATAAACACTGACGCGCGAGTCCTGCCCATGATCCATGCTCTGGCCGGCTGGAAAGACAAGCAGTCGAATCCGGAAATCGTTCTTGGGCCTTTTCGACTCAAAGCATATCCTCTGACCGGGCTGGAATGTCCGCGGATCCGCCACAGTCATCCTGACTTCATCAGCCCATCCTTCAGGAATGCGAAGAGAGTCTTCCATGGCGTCTACCTGAGTCTACCTTTCCTAAACACTCGAAAGGCGAGCCCTGAGCCGAGCAGTCTCCTTCCAGGTTCCATGGTATCTTTTAATGGCGCATTGAAGTCCACAGAGCTTATAGGAACCCGAAAAAGCCCAAACCCCGACCGAACCACCTGTAGCACTATGAAGCTGTACACTGACAAGAAAGATCATCTTAGCAACAACAGCAGCAGTAGCAAGGAAAATGTTGATATGAAAGATGGTAGCAATAGCAATAATGATCATGATAACGATAGTGGTGATGGCAATGGTGATGGTAATGAGAATGATACGATAATGAGGATGGAACGAACAATAAGAACAGGAATCATAATTATCACAGTATCCATAACAGTAATGGTAGTGGTCAAAACAATCATCATCATCATCAGCAGCAGCAGCAGCGGCATAATGATCGTCGTCAGCATCCTCATCATAATCATCGTCACAATCGTAACAGCTGACTGTAAGAAGTTCGGGAGGCGGTTAGACATGTAGTCATGACCAGAAGTTGGCAGGAGCAAAACTTGCTGTAGGAAAGGTGGCAGTAAGCCGAGGAGCGAGACAAAAAACCTTGACCATGATAAAATGCAAGTCGCTTGGAGTGTCAGAATTGTGCCATCGTCCAACGCTAAACTTAAATCCCTGACCTAACTAAACTTAAACTGAAAGTCTCAACCCTAAAACCCTAAAAGCTGAAACCCTAAACCCTAAACCCTAGGAGCCCTAAACCCTAAACTTCCTAAACCCCTAAACCCCAAAACCCCGAAACCCTAAAACCCCAAAACCCCAAAACCCCGAGCCCCTGGCCCGCCGGGTCGCAGAGACCGGGCCAGGCTCGAGGAGACGGAGCCGGAGCCGGTGCCGGCCTTTCAGGAGCTTAGGGTTTAGGGTTCGGGTTTTAGGGTTTTTTTTTTTGACACCTCTTTTCCATCAGCCGAAAGGTTTAGGGTTTTTTTTTTGGACACCTCTTTTCCTCCCTCGCTGTTGCTCAGTTGGAATGCCTTCCAGGCGGAGGCAGCTGGTTGGGGCTGTGTTAGTTGGGATTCACCGCCAATCACCACTATACCCCTTAACCGAAGAGACCCCATCAGCCCCACAACAGCAGTTGGGTACCTTGGCCACTCGTTCCTCCAAGTAGCAAAGAAGCACTAGCGGCAGCACCAGAAGAATGTATGGTACTAGCCCGGGTTTAGGGTTCAGGGTTTAGGGGGCTACGATTCCTCTGCTAGGACTCTACTAAGCTTAAACCATTACTATACTATTGCGATACGACTTCTACACTTGTAATAGACTATTACGATACTGTTACTATACAATTACTATACTATATCTATACTATGAATAGACTATTACTATGCTGCTACTATACTGTTACTATATGATTACTAGAGCCAAGGAGCTTGGGGCATGAGGCTACTATCACTGGAGTTTCTAGGGATGCTTGAAAGGTTGCTATGAGAGTTTGAGTTGGGGCTACTACAAGTGTTCCACTCTGGTTGCTAAGCGTAAGAAAGGTTCCTAAGAGGGTTACTGGAAGGTTGCCTCTAAAAGGGTTGCGATGAGGGCTCTATACGGAGGATTCTGAGGGAAGTCAGGGGTTTCATGAGGGTGGCAAAAGGTTTCGGGATTTGAGGGGTCGAAAGCCCTGGACACTTACGGCAGGGGCCTCGCAAATCACCCGCCCGGGTCGCGCATCTAGGAGGCAGCGCAGCCTGGGATATTATGTAAAGAGGTTCACTTCACTGATCGGCGAAAGCTATGACATTGACAAAAACTGGAGAAACACAACCATGATGGGCTACTGGTGAAACGGCTGCGATGCTAACACAAATCATACTGGACATGAAAAAACACATTAACCATCAAACAAATCTACGGAATGCAGGCTAATACTGGTCATGATCTTCTAGAATCTACAGCACTGCACCAGCAATGACAAGAACAAAGCGGTCGTAATCGCGACAAAGTAATCAACATAGTTGGCGCACGTTCAGTTCTCCGGCAGCAGCACACCATAGATTTCAACAACTGCTACTACAAGCGAGCAACAAACGGCATGTCTAGTCAGTGCGAAGCCACACGCCATAAGTCCAGTTGAGATCAACTGAGGAAGGGAGAATGCCGTAAACTTGGCACGGCGGCATCGAAATGTCTGCGTGGTACACGATCTGCCTGGCAGCAGGGTCCGTCTTGGTCTTTGTGTTGAGAAAGTTCACAGAGCTCAAACCAAACCTTCAAAAAACAGAACGGAACAAACACACATACACACACACACACAGAGAGACACAGATCACAACCAACATGATTCCAGACTCGATCTGTGCCGGCCCGACGTGCGGTGCGTGAGGCTCTGGGTGATGAACTCAGGGGTGGGCCGAAGCAACGCCAGCCAGAGCCCGCCTGGCAGGAGTGCAGGGACTTCAGCTGAAGATGCCTCTGCCTGAAGACTTCATTGCACAGCAGTCTTTGCGGCTCTCGAGCCTTTCCGTGCGCGGACTTTGCTCCCAAACGGGCGCCCGATGATTTCATCGTGGTGGAAATTGCCGAAGCCTCAGACATCAAGCGCTACACCCTCATGGCGGCTCCCACAAAATGTGCCATGATGACCTTGTACTAAGCTGCAGGTTGGAGTTCGCACGCCCTTCGAAAAGGGAGAAGGGTCATCGCATCGAAGATCCTGCAAGCCATCCTGACAGGAATCTCTGAGGCTCCGGCGATTGTTGGTGATGTCTCCATGCTTGAGGACCACTCCGAAGACCTACCCAAGGAGCAAAAAAACAACCATGAACTTGCAGCACCCCGCAACCAACCTCTATCAGGTATCTGCAGGTATCGCCTTTCGCCTCGCTCTCAAGAACTTAGGCATACCGGCGCAGTCACGAAGCAGCTTGCCTGCGTGTAGCTACCCCAGAGGATGACGAAGTCACCCTCCCTGGTTCCTGGGGGCATCTTCGTTGTTGGAACCGAGGCAGAGCTGCAAAATCTTGGAGTTGAGTCCCTCAAATCCAAAGCAGGAAAGCCCTACATTGCCCTATCATACTGCAACAGAATCAGAGGCTTTACGCATTTCTCAACATGCGTCGCAGCACAGGAAGCCTTGAAGATGCACTGGTGCCCCCACCTTCGGGCGCCGGTTCTGCTGCAACCGCCTGCCTGTAGCTTCTGTGGGTTGGGGGACTGTTGGCGATTGTGTGCCTGGTTGCTTCGTGCCAGAATGAAGGCTTGAAGAGACCTGTAGTTGCTTGGGGTGCCGATGAAATCATTCGACCCTCCTCGCCCAGTGTTACCCAGCGACAAGTCAGCAGCCTGCTTAAGATCTGGGCTTCGGCTTCTTCAGTTCTTTCCCCTGGGCCACAGCCTTCCCCTAACTCAGGGCTCCAGTTCGTTGCTTGTGACATCGAGCGGCGTCTCCATCAGCTAGCAGACTGCCATGCCGACATGGCCAGGGCACCCCAAGAACAGAGATGGAAACATTATATTATATTATACTATATTATATTATATTGTATTATATTATATTCTATTGTATTATATTATATTATACTTATACAGCTTGACAGAGATGGAAAGAGCTTGAGAGGTCTCGAGGAGCTTGAAGCCCCGACCGAGAGGTCTCGGAGGCCTACGTGCTCTGCTGCCACTGAAGAGAGCCCAAAGCGGGGAAAACCATGAACCCTTGTTCCCCTGCTATTGTACTGCCCTAAAGACCTGATGAAAACCTTTCGCCTAAAATCGGATTGAGCAACGTTCTAAGGCTTGCTGCGCGCCAAGCCTCTTGAATGTGAGCGTTTGAATCTGAGCCCGAGCTGCGCAGCGCTCAGAAAACTCCTCGAAGGTCAAA